TATCTCTAAGTAAGTGGTAACAAGGGGTACATCTGGAATACATTTGAAATGCTGAAATATCCTGAAAAGCACTCCATTTTCCCTTATGTAGATTTTACGTGCTCAAATTCAAACAACATCGATAAGAAAAACAAAGAAAATGTTTGATCTTATATATATATTATATAAAAAAAGTTGTGGTTGCCATGGTAACAGTGTAACCAAGCAAAATTAGAAACTACGATTGGGTTAGTACTACTGTCTTGAGGGAACACATGAAATTTCAAGACGGGCCTCAAACTGTCTGATATTTTTTAATACAGAACTGTATTCGGCATATATCGTACTTAAAACATTGCTTTTGATTTACCTGAGACAGTCCGATATTAGAACAAAAGACAACGTAGTTAATGACCACTGAAGCAGTTCTTTCAAGAATGCAGACTTAAATGAAAAGTACTCAGTATTTACGGATTTGGCTACACTGAAGAAGGTATTTGAAAGAATTTTATAAGGAGAGTTGGGACAAAATTTTTATTCATTTAAACATACACGGAGATTAAAGCAGTGCAACGAATTATCATACAGACAATCTAGTGAATGATGAATTTGGAGTGAAATGCCGATATGAAGAATATCCACTGAAAATGAAGCAGATGCTAAAGGTACACTTCCATTTCATTTTTTTATGTTAAGCGTCTACGTATACCTTTGTTTTTGATGTTCCATTACAGAAAAACAAACATAATCAATAATCTAGAAGTTTTGAGGGAAACGTTGAAAATCTTCAAATTTCTTTCAAAATGTGTCGCCAATCTGTCAATTAAGTATTAATTATCATATACTAGGCTTAGTTACCTTGATTTTGCATCTAGGCATCTTTCTTTCTATGAGAAAAATGAAATCAAATTGTCTAAAATTTGTGTTTTATTATGATTTTATTTTGAGGGCTTTGAAAGTTTATGCGCTTTTCTGGTGATCCCCAGTGTGCCCACTCTTTTTCAAAAACCAGAAAAAGGGGTTGAAACACTTCACCGATTTTAATAGGTTTATTAGAAGTTTGCGCGTTTATAATGGGTTTTTTTGTTTGTTTTTACTGCATTAATTGGTCTGCCGCTTGTTCTTCTTCCTGTTACAGTATCTTCGGTGTAATTGAAAGTTTTTTTTCTAACTTTTGCAATTCTGTAAGATCAATGTTTCTAAATCATCATTCTTTGTGAGAAATTTAAATTTAATTCTTTTTATTTCTTTTGTTCATTAGCAGACCAATTTTGAAGGATATCAGTACTGAGACAGTCTGATATTACGATTAATATCAGACTGCTCACTAGTATTGGACTGTCACAGGTAAATTATTAAACTGCAAGAACAAAGGAATGACATCACAGCAATGTTTTAAGCACCCTTATTACCTTTCAACACCAATGCTATAGGGAAAATTGGGATTAATTGCTACTTGGTTGTGTTACCATTGGAACAACGTACCAGTTGTGAAAGGTGAAATTATTTTTGATGCATTAAGAATTTACTTGCCATTTAATAAAGAAACATACCATATAACTCACCCTGAACAATACTTATCTGGTAGAACTAAAGTAGAATATCATATATTGATACAATGTGATGAAGAAAACAGTATTGTTGCTATGGTTACCAGGAAGGTAAAATGTTTGATTTTAAGCTTTAAATCAGCTTCTTGCATCCAGTTAGAGATTGAATGATAGTAAAATAAAAAAATCCAGGTTATCTCTTAAGTATAATGAATATCAACCATAAACGTTTTGTGAATCTACATTTAAGGGTACTTCCCTCACACACAAATAACCCCCTCCCTGACGCACACAGTGAATTTTGTTGTTGATTTATGTTGATTATAAACTGTAAGTTTGAATTGCATATATAGCGTTGATTTTATTGCAACTGTCCATGGACATTTTGAAATCTTCTCGTAGATTCCATATAAACAAAATTGCTAAAAGAATCTAGCTCCTCTAAGTGGGAGATATTTCTTAAGGAAATTTTTACACCTTCTTTTATTTCATCTCGTTTAGCCTTTCACTAAGGTTGGTGAAATAAAAAACGAGATATCTTAAAAGAAAGTAGTGCATTGAAAAGGGGTGGTAGATGTTTAAATTGTTAAAAGGGCGAAAATCATTTGGGGAAGGATATGGAGGTAAAAACACTATTCAATATCAAAACCCATAAAACAATACAAAATAGGAGCAGAGCAAACACGGACCTCCGAAACATCAGAGGTGGGATCAGGTGTCATGGAGGAGTGAGCATCCCTGCTGACGGTCACACCTACCGTGTGCTCCTTGTCATGATCAGGTAATAACGGAAAAATCCGTCGTCAATTCAGTGCATAAAAATGGCCTTACCATTAGTATGAAAAACGTCAGTCAGCATTTAACTCAATGATAAATTGTATTTGCTGATAAGGCCATTGTATCGAAAATAGAACTTAAGAAATGATGACTTTAAACGAAACTGCTGATATTCTTGTTTCATCAACTTGCTTGTCAATAATTTACCTCGTTTTAGAAATTGTTCATACGTAGAGCATGCTCTTGCGTATCGAATCAACTGAGATATATATACTCCGTATGCAGGTGATGAAGGTATATTGCTGCATAAGTAAGGGAAGCTGACTATAGAAAAGTTAAAGTCATTACGTTTATCATATAGCTTGGTAGTTAGATTGCAATTAACGTCTTTTTCAGGTAAGATACTAGTATTCAAGTATGAAACATATGTGTCAGACACTGTGATATCTTATATCTCAAGCTCATGGGGCAAAGAAAGGTTGACAATACAAATCATTACATGTATGCATAATATATTTTCTTACGGTAACTTTAATATCTTCTCTCATATTTTTTTCTTTTTTTTTGGGGGGGGGGGGGTGCATCAACTTGCAGATAAGAGCATAACTCAAAATTGCTATGGAATAACTTTCTAAAAAGCTGAAAACACATTAAAAATGTATAATTACAAAAAACTTACATTGACTGTGTTATCCCGACCAATGCAAGTGCTGCAGAGGATGAAATGTGTCCTTCGTGTTGCTTGATAACACAGTTTTAACAAGAATACACGCAAACTAATACTTACTATGAAACCCCTGTTGAGAAACCTGGATTAAATATCATTAAATTGATAAACCTTGATATGAGAGATAAAAGTCCATCTCATTGCAATTAAAATAAACACTTCAGTTATAAGTGGAAATTTTCACTCAATAAGCAATGCTGAAATCCGAGGTAATGAAATTGCGCTTCGGTAAAATGCATCATATAAGTGAGAAATACGTGTAGATAATTTCGGCGGAATTGAATATTCCTTTCTATTTACTTTGATAAGATATGCTGAAAGAATTTTCTTTAAATATTTTACATTTCTTATAATAAATGCATTTAGTGAATAACAAGAAATTCAAGATGGAGAAAAATTTTCGTTGGTAATTTTTTTTTTCTTTTGAAAAATCATTATATAAATGAAAATGTCAATTTCATCAGGTACTAACAATTTTAACGAGTCTTTCATAACATCAAACGAAATTGAAAATTAGCAACTTTGTTGAATACAACTTTCAGAACAAGCAATATTACGCACATTTTAGAGACAAACATCAACAAGTGATATAAATTTTGTTTGCACTATGTGCAGTCACTGGACGCTGCAGCTTTAAATTATGGTTTATCAGATATGAAATCAGTGCTGAAGGTTATTTATTTGATGAAAACTCATTCATAGGAGGTGAAATTTGATTTGTTAGGAACAAATATATCATTTGAAATTGTTTCGAAAAATTAATTGAATTGCTTTATATGTAGTTAGATGCAGAGTTTTTTCCTGTCATTAAGTAATAATGAAAATGGTGGATACTAATAATAAATCTGACAAATTTCCCTTTAGCATTATTAGGACATAGGTTTATCACCTGTGATTGGTGCATCCAATCATTTTTATTTTTCCCATGAACTTTTCACTTCTAAGGTCAAGTGCTCTAGTAACAAGGATTTGACAGTTATTATTTTTTTTTTGGGGGGGGGGGTATATAAGGGAGATAGACTTATTAATCAAGGAAACTGACAAATCATTGATCAACTGGTGCAAGGATTCATGTTAAAGAACATATCTTTGATATACTACTATGAACAGCTGCTTACTGAAAATACAGAAATAGCAAATAAATCATGTAATATTAATTATCAATTACTCCAATTTTCTACTTCTGACGAATTTTACCTTAAAAAGATTATTTACTTGCCAATTAACAAAATATATTAGTAAAAATATGCAAGCATAACACTTGTCTTTACTAACTATTTTTTGCACGTATTTGAATTTAAAATTTATCGGTGGAGTGAATGTTATCAGTTCAAAAAATTGCATTACCTTGATACATGTAGTTTACTTAAAATCATTCATTGTTAAATAAGCTTTATCACCGTTTTGATAAGTTTATTTTATTGGTAAAATCAAGAAATATTCACATCAGATGACAATATAAAACACTTGGGTTTTATAATATTACTGAAAGTTTGAACAAAAATTAATAACTTTTTATCGTAAGACAATCAGCGCGTGAGTCTTAGGTTGAAAAATATCGAGTTCTTTGGGATAAGAATGTATTGGAAAGGATCTTTAGTAGAAGGGAATGCTGCATCTAAGGCCATTATGACGGTTGAATATACTAGTATCAGGTTTGGGATTATCTGTTCGGTAAGATTATTAATTTTTAAGATATAGTGTAGTTCATGTTAAGTACACATAAATATAAACTTATTTTACAGGTGGTATGGGTATTTTGAAGTTAAGATTTTCGAGTTATATGTAGTTCTTAGACTACCTTTGGGATTTTTCTATAAAGTATTTCTTCCTGCCATAAGCCTGAAATCAATTAACAGAAGAAACTGTTAGATACATTTATCGAGTGGTAAAAAATCAAGTTCCTGCGCTTGCGCGGGTTTTCATCTTGTAGTTATATAAACAGAAGACAGATATCGTTAGAATACAAAACCTATTCTTCGTCACTCTTTTTAACCCTTATAACTCAGCATGAAAAGGAACATGTTATGTTTACTGTTGTTTTCTCTCATTTTGATCCAAATAAATGGAATTTCCATTTTAACAGGCGAAAACAACAACCAAGGAGATCAAATGGACAGAAATGTAGTCCCGACAAAACGCGTAGATATTCTTCAGCAACTTTTAAACCAGGAAACGATCATCAGAATGTCTTTAGAGAAAAATGTGCGTGACCTCATAAAAGAAGTTGCTAATATGAAGACAAAAATTACAATGTTAGAAACATCTACGAGAGAGTTAAATGGGAACGTAAATCGTTCATTGGAAATAATGGACAACGAACTGATTTCCCGACACAAACAACTTTCAGAAAACGTTTCCAACCTCGATATGATTCACCGTGACAAGCAAGGTAAAAATCTTCGTAATTTTATTATGAATGTTCTTCAAGCGAGACTTGGAAACATTTTAAACTGTGGTAAACGTAATGATTAAGGGCTTTCTTCTCACGGGTGACCTTTTTTATAGTCTGATGTTTCTTTATATGCACATTTTATGTCTAAAGGGATTTTTCAACGTGAAGTGTTTTTGAAATAATACCTACTTTAAGTAACATTACTAACAACTGATTTTTGACTGTTTGTTTCCGTTCATAAGTCCAATTCGAAAGACATTCACTCATTTAGAAACGCCTTCTTATAAAGGTGAAAGGTTCAATTTTAAGCCTACATTGGCATGTTTTTAAAATATGTATATCTTAAAATTCCGACAGAAAAAAACAATGTATATGCGATATTTGTAGAAAGTACCAGCATTTATCGACGTACGTATATTACAATGTATCAGCTTAATATCATTCGTTTTCTCAGAATTAACTAAAACATCTTTTTTAGAGTTTTGGTGCATATAATTACGGAAGCCCATTTACAACCTATCGAAAATATTTTTGAATCCGATATAACGAACTGTAGAATTTGTTGAAACGAATTTAATTCATTATAACAATTTCTTTGAATTCGTTATAATGAATTTAATCTGTTATAACAAATTTGTTGATTTCGTTATAACGAATTCAAAAATTTGTTAATACGAATTAAACTCGTTTTAACAGATTCTAAAACTTGTTATAAGGAATTGAATTCAATTAAACGAATTCCATCATTTGTTATAACGAATTAAATTCGTTAAAACGAGTTCGACAAATCGTAATACCGAATTCATATTATATATTTTTTTATAGACCTTGATTATTGAATTCGATCAAACGAATTTAATTCGTTATAACAAAACTTTGGAATTTGTTTTAACGAATTTAATTTGTTATAACAAATCTAAGAATTTGTTTAAACGAATTTAATTCATTATTATAATAACAAATTAAAGAATTCGTTATAACGAATTCAACAAATTTGTTATAACAGATTAAAATCGTTATAGCAAATTCATAGAAATTGTTATAACAATCTTTATATTCAATATTCAAAAATATTTTTCGAAAGGTCCCAAATGGGCTTCCGTATATAATTGATGTACTTATGGTGTCAAAGTCTTTCGTTTGTGCTCGGGCGACACAGCTTCAATAACTAAAAGAACCATTTTTCCGCTTTCGTTTTATGTTCGGATCTTCTAAGAGATTTCAAAATCGGTCTTTCCTTGTTTTAAACTAGTAAAAATGTTTATCTTAAGAAAATAAGAAAGGGACATAAGACCTTATTGCAATTGGAGAAGAAGTCAAAGCAATTCAAAAAAAAAATTATTGCTCTGTTGAACCAGCAAACACTCGCTTAATTAATAATTAATACATTGTTAAAGTTAAGAGCAGAAAAATATATGTAATAACTTCTTATTTCTCCCAAAGTCAAAGCTAAATGCTCTAGAAAAGTCTGCATACAATATTTTTCGCCTCTTAAACGGTTCATTAATAAATTATATTCTTATATCTGATGGCATTTTGTTATTTATAGAATCAGTAGAGTAAATCTCCATTGATAACTTACTGAAATGAAAAGTTTATGTTTTACGTCATTGAAAGCGGGGAAATGTCTTACATAAATGTTTATATATATTTGTGAAACATCGTGTTGGAATTCGACTTTTAGAAAAATGGCAGATGCGTTGGCATGGCACGGAATTTGAATCTGGTAATCAAAATACGTAATTTCTCCTAAACTTTGATCCTTTGACATTTGTCTTTTTTGACGTTACAGATTGCTTCGGTTGTAAGGGATCGATAACACTTCAATTTTTTTACTCGAACTGTTTTCAAGTACACATGATAAAACTTCTTAATTTATCTGCCAAAAACGCTTTATCCGTTTCGAAAATTGTATGAAGATACATTAATTTTAAGCTCACCTGAACCGAAGGCTCAAGTGAAGTTTTCAGATCAAATTTTGTCCGTCGTCTGTCCGTCTAGCTGTATGTCCGTCCGTCTGTTACATTTTCACATGTTTGACTTCATCTTAAGAACCACTGGGCCAAGTTTAACATAACGTGGTACAAAGCATCTTTTAGTGAAGGGAAATTTAAATTATTAATGTGAAGGGCCTAGACTCCTCAATAGGGGAGATACCAGCAAAATTTATAAGATAACATACTTCATTTGTATATTGAAACAGAATATCTTCAATTTATCCTAATTAACCATTTGTACAAATCTTATATACACACAATGCAAAATTCTAACTTATATTCTTAAAGTCAATATACTGTGAAAGGGGGCATTTTTAAATTTATTTTTTGTTATTCATACGTTAGAGAACGAACTCACGATATCACTGCGTCGCCCGTGTGGTGGTAAGAGCGTCTGCTCTGGAGTCGCGGATTCAGGAGTTGATCCTTACGTGGCGGGTTTGAATCCCACTGTGGGATTGGAGACCGGTACTTCTGATGAGGTCCTTTGTCAAAGTAGATGGCACAAAAAAGATCCCTCACTGGTCAATGGCCCTTAGTGCCGAGAATAGTACAAAATTTGCAACTCTCAACCGACAAATGGCGGTGTCTCTATATGATTGAAAATTAATTTCCGAGAGGGACGTAAAACAACATTCAAACAAACACCCTAAATCATTTCAAAGATTCACTATCATACATGAATGTATCAACGATAGCGTTTTCGTGCCATAATGAGAAAGTAGAGAAAATAAAAAAAATAGTTAAAACGATTTAGAAAATCGTTCAAACGATTTAGAAAATCGTTCAAACGATTTAAAAAATCGTTTGTATGGGTTAGAAAAGCGTTTGAACGATTTAGAAATCGTTTATACGATTTTTTTCAAATCGTTTGTATGATTTTTAAAATCTTGTGTACAATTTTTAAAATCGTTTGTACGATTTTAAAATTTATTTTACATTGTCAATATGGCACGAATACACCGTCGTAGCTAACTGTAGATAAGAAAAAAAAACATTCCAAAAAAAAAACTCAATTCAACATCAACTTAAAACACTATATACATATCAAGTTACTGAACTACTGGTGCATGTTAATATTTAGCGGATAGTCTCATCCCAGTCGTGAGTACCGTATAAGTGGAAATTTTAGCGAGACACAAATTTAGCGATTTGTCCTTAAAAACTGGTAATTTATTTTAAGCGAGATGTTATGTTAGCGATTTTAAAATGCACATTAAAGAAGCTATTACAAATAAAACGCAATCAATTTTTAGCGATATTCAATTTTAGCGATCTCGGCACTCTCGCTATTAATGCCAAAATTAAATCCTCGCTAAAAGTTCTACTTATACGGTATTAAAGGTACTTGGACACATATTTGAAGTTATTATTTTTTCTATAAAATTACGACTTATATATTTTAAAAGCATTTCACACTAAAATTAATTAAAAATCTTATTTCATATAAAAGATATTAAAATTTCAAAATTTTTGGTAGGTTTGATTGACACATCCTTGCACTTTCACAAATTAAATCTCGTTGTGTATAAATGAAAAAATATTGATACTTTAAACCAGAAAATTCAGAATAGACATTTTTGAAAGCAAAACAAACACAAAATATATTGTCAGTCCATGCAGTTGTGGTAAGCAGACTGTGACGATTGAACGCACCCGGTGAATTATAAATATAAACAATAACAGAACTCGAGCCCTGTTTACAAAAACTGTGTACATTACACGAGTGTGCTCGATTTGCTAAACTCTGTAAGCAACCCTTAGTTATAGGAATGACGATACTTGTGAGGAAGTTTTGCTCTCTAACATTTGTACTCGGAGTAAAACTATTTTTCTGGATAGAAGTTTTAATATTTCTCATTAATACACCACAAGATTGCCACTTTTCCTAAGGATTAAGGATAAGATTAAAATTTGTGAAAGTGCGAGGATGTGTCAATCAAACCCGCTAAAACATTTCAAGTTTTTATAACTTTCAAATGAAATAAGATTTTTAATTAATTTTTGTGTGAAATGCTATTAAAATATATATGTCGTAATATCATAGAAAAAATATTGACTTCAAATCTGTGTCCAAGTCCCTTTACGTTAAACTTTAATAAATCAATGAAGTGAAACTTATGTGGCTGCTTAGAGGCATATTACGAGTATGAAAAAAGCTATGAAAATCATTTAGTAATAATTATACTTTTTATTGTTTTCAAAGGTGTGATCGCATTCAACGCCTTACTGACAGATAACACCCATCAAAGTAAAGCTGTTATCATCTTTAAAAAGATAACATTAAATTCCGGAAACGCTTATAATGCAACAACGGGAAAATTCACGGCTCCTGTAGACGGAATATACTCTTTTTCTTGGACTATTGCCACAGATGCCGGTCAGCGTCTAAGCACAGAAATTATACACATTGATAAACCTGTCAGTTATAATCACGTTTATGGCAATTACGAAACTGGATCAACAACAGCTAACATAGAAATGAAAAAGAATGAACAAGTCTGGATCAGAGCGTACGAAGGTGGCTTTGCCCTAACCGATTGGTCGTCTTTCTCCGGTTTCCAGTTGAAGTAACACTTCTGTTATAAAGGACATTAAAAGATAATGGATCTCCGTACAAAATAGTATTTGTTTAGAAATTAATTATTTAATGATTTGATGACATAACTCTATAAGACAGTTCAGGTCATCAACGAAAGATAGAAACGTGGGATAATTTGAGGAAATGGGAAAAAACCAAGTTTGGCATAAACTGTTACATGTTTCCTACTGTCGTTGTTAGCTTTCATGTTTGCAATAAAAAGAAAATAAAAAATGTTGTCGTGGCTACATGTACTTAGAATATGCAAGTCATTATAACTTAATTTTCATAGCCCCACAAACTGGTGTCAGACGCAAAACGGTTGCAAGAGATCTAGATTGACATGCATACATGTATGTATTTGACTTTCCATTTGGCAAAATTTACATTAAGTCGAACATGTATACTCCCTTCCTATGATATCGCGGGTTCTATGGTATCGCGGTATTTCTGTTTATGAGCTGGCACGCGCTGAAAACTGCACATGACGGCCCGATATTTTTAGACATTGTAAACATATCCACGTTGAACTCGTATCATAATAAAAATTGCAGTAAATATAAGAATGAAACAAATTTTATGAGTTTGCAGTTTTAGTCTGTCAAAAGATAACGGACGCGAGCTCTACAGATAAAAGTAATTAAAGAGGCTGATCAATAGGAATTAAACTTTTAAATCGGACGGTCCCACGAAATAGATCATGGGAATGCAGCTGCTACTTGCTTGTTTATGAAAAGATGTATTTGGTTAGGGTGAATAAGGAACCAATGGTAATGAAGTGACCAGAGGTCAGATATTTGAATAAATTAGCTACAACAAATAATATTTAAAGATTATGCAAAAGATTGGAAATTATTTTAAAAGTGCATTAGAAATTTTAAAAGTACTCAAGGTCAGAATAATAGTAATTAAAATTCAAATAAAAATTTAAAGTAATAATTGCAAATTTTGAAGGAGTTACAAATATGGAGATGTAAATCGACAAAGGTACACCTAGTATAAAATGACTGGCCGGGATAGACAGGACTTCAGTGGAAAGCTGAATCTTGACTGTCTTGGTTGCATTTTATACAGGTGAGATTATTTTGTAGACTTGCTCATGTTTTGATCAAATTATTAAATTTTCACATGGCTTATTTTATTTACAAGTTAAACTTTTTATATTATAAGTAGTTATAGTTTTAATATGGTTTAGCATCTTTTGTAAAATTATTTATTGTAATTATTAATATTAGAAATAGATTGTTTAACTTAATAAAGAGTGGAAAGCTGAATCTTGACTGTCTTGGTTGCATTTTATACAGGTTGGGTAACATCTCCACTCCCCAACCATGGCCGCCGCTCTGGTCCACAATTTTAAAAGGAATTAGATAATAAGACAATATAGCAAAACTGAGCCATCCTGGTACCTCCACTAGCCAAGCGAGTTCAGAAGGAATGATATGATTAAAGATGAAGAAAACAAAGAAGAACAATTATCCTTTTTATTTTTTTTATAATACTCGCTTGCATTTTTTTTAAACAGAATTTCGATTCCTTTGATTTGTTAACTTTATTTCTGTAACATTTTCGCACTTTTGTCGCCATTGATAAATTTTACGAATACTACGTTATATATACCACCATGAAAACAATGTAAAAACTAAGATAACAAAGTTGAATCGGCACAAACTGTAGTTTGGTGTTTACTATGAAAACGAGGCTTTGAAGATCACGTGTTTTCCTTTTATGGAAGTGTCAAAAAAATTATAAAGTATGGAAAACAGTTCGTGTAAAAAATTAACAAAAAATTGAGAATTGTTTTCGCTGGTAAAAAAGTTACACACTTCAGTTTGGGTTGAAATATTACGAATTAATTATTAAATATACATGTAGTTTTGTTTTTTTCTTTTTTCTTTTTTTTTTTTAAATATTCTTCAATAGAGAAACAAATATATGAATTGAAATTTAAAGTTAAACCATTAAAATTAAAGAAAAAAATCAGCAGTTTTTATAAGTTCAGGAAAAATATCAATCCAATAGATATATATAATAAATGATTACCATTTGTTACTTTTAAAATTTTTTATTGTCTATTTTAATATTTGTGTCAATTTTCTCTTTTATTATTGCATTCTTTTTATTTTAAAAAAAAGATAATTGTACATTGTATCAATATTTGCCTACTACTTTTCATATCCTTTTTTTTGAGTGTAAAAAGAAAGAGATTGATTAAAGACTTCAATAGAATTTTGCATGGTTGGAGAGAACATGTAATGCTTGTAAATAAAGAATGTCTGTCTACAAAGCAACAGTTAATATAATCTATTTTGTTCTTAAACACCCTATAAAAGTTTTAACAAGGGATAAAATTCTATTAGCCTAAAAAAAGATTATATCTCCACTGTACAAGTGGGTAGAAGGAGAAGTACTTCTAATTGCCCCCCCCCCCCCAATTCTTTAATTTATATATACTTCGATAGTTGATAATCTTTAATTTCATTTTGAAGTATAATATCATAAAAGTTTAATTACACCAAAGTCATTAAATTATAGGTAGATCATAGTTTAATTGCATTATTATGTTTTTTTTTAATATGACACTGCTAGGTGGCCATAGACTGGTGTCAACCGGATACCGCGATACCATAGAACTCTTTCGCGAAGTAAGGTAAACAATGGTACTTCTTTTCGATAGCTCCTAGTAAATAAACAACAAGATAAAAATTCAACAACAAAACAAGAACTATAGATAAATAATAGAAAAAACTGAAAATAATATTAGTTTCTTGAAATATCCCAGGTATGGAAGATATTTTTACAAAATAGGATAACTACCGAGATATCATAGGACCCCGGCGTATATATTAAGAGAAACACACACACAACTTTCAAGGAATTATCACAGAAAAGATTACAAAAGCAAATTCAGTTTATGTAAATACATGAAAATAATAATGCATGATTGCAAATAGTTTTTAACTATTCCAGTTAATGTAGATTTAAAAAAAATATGGTATAGATAATGAGAATTGCAGCATTTATGATTATATTAAAATGATTCAGAATCTTTAAAAAATCTTTTAAAAATTATATTAAATATTAAGCTCGTAAGATTCCAATAGATAACCTGGTTATCTGACTTTTTTTTCTCTTAATAAAAACTTTTGTTTCCTCCCCAACTATCCCCCAAAGATAAATTCTCTGTGCACGTGGAATGGTAAGTATATAAAAATGACGATTTTCTGTGCGTTCTTTATGTAAAACTTCAAATTAACTATGCTTCTAAATGAAGATGTAATTGAATATATACATGTTTTTATTACAAAATAAGTTACATGACACAGATGATAGATAATACCTAAGAATAGCCCATAAAAGCCAGGTATGACCGGTCAGCAGGGGTTGCTTACTCTTTGTAGGTACCTTATTCCACATACATATACTTGTATTAGTTATATATTTTAAGTACGGCTCCGTGTAAAAATCATGCAGATAACACAGAAAAGGCGCCAAATCGACAATCTTCAAATTCAATAAAACTGGGTTTAATATAATTATTCATTTGGGTCTAAAATAAATATATATATAAACAAATGATTTTGTTATATAATTCTTTTTATTTCATATAGCCACGGATAAAGTACTTGAGGTGTAATTTTGTATAGTTAGTGTGCAAATAATCCATTTTTTTAGTATCTTAGCATACTCTACCAACATGCAAAGTTTGAAAAAATTCTGATACCTCTCATGTATCACCCTCTGCATTATTTTTACATGGAGCTGCACTTAACATCCTTCACTAATCGTAATTCTCATTTTTTATTCCATTGTTAAGCTTTAGGAATCTGCAATTATTGTATCTCCGATAGGGCCGATATGTATATAAAGACACCTGCTACGACTGTCTATGTTTAGCGGCGTAACATTGCGGGGCTCCTTAATCTTAATGGTGAACGAAAGACAACAGGATACACATTGTTTTTAGTATTTTATTAGATTTTATTCAAATAAATGTACACAAAACTCCTCTTTGGTTCTGCAATCATCAGCTGAAATTCATTTAACAACGCAATAATTCAGTGTTTTTGGAATTAAAAAAATGAAAGCTTTAGTGTTTTATTTTAACGATTATGACAATTACTATTTATTTACAACAAATATGAATCAGCGAAATCTGATGTTTGTTTTTTGTTGTTATCGTTGAACGTCCTTCTGCATCGAGAACGTTTAACTCATCTCATTGAGGTCGAGGACAGCAAATACACGTGTACCTGTATTTGGCACTCAAGACGATTGAACGTTGATGAATCTTTTTTGCGCCACCATATACTGAGACTTGGACCTTAGTTAATTCATGCTCATCCGAAGGGCCTGTCCTCACGCCCTTCAATTAGATTTGAAACTGCGAGGCTAGCATCAGCTCCCTACTCCGTGACAAGAGCAGCTCTAGCTTCTGTACCACGAGGGAAACTACCCGCAAAACAAGGGATTTTTCAAGTTCATTGAGTGTCTTGGAGTCAGTTGAAGCTCACAGAGTCAGTCTCGGAGTCTGAGGGGTCTAAGTGTTTAAATGATATTGATACATAGTGCGCTGAACATTTGAACAAAATTTGTGATCACGTACTTAGAACATGTTATAACAGATGCATATAATAAAGGGACGGCTGATTCATTTTCGCACCAAATTATAATTATCTCCCTATTTTGCAGCGTTTCAACCTGGAGGCATACATGTAGATACACTTCCTGTCATATCAGCTGCTGTTTTTCATCACTGATCTTTGGGTAAACACTACCTAAATAATCCAATTTTATAATCTATAACCTGTATGTCACTTACTTTTTACATCATGTTGATATCAATGATGTATTTTTGCAGCTTTATAATGAAACTATAGAAAAGAAAAAAACACGCAGAATCTACATGTAAGACCATTAGGTGTTAACCGTGTGTCGTTGTCGAAACATTTTATTAAAAAAATCTCAATAAAAATTTTCTCTTGTTTTAAAGTTGCTCCTTTTAATCAACATAAACATAGTAGACTCATGGCCGTAAGAACCGGTGAGCAAGGCTAGAAGAATTTTGCCAGTAAACAGACATGTAGTTAAGTTTCATTTCATTCTTTAAGGAGTAATATTTGATCTGGTATAGTTATCTCTAGCAATAGGCCCACGGGCCTTATTGGTCACCGG